CTAAATAGATGAACAGTGATATGCAACAAAGATCTTTTCACAGTTGTTTCATTTGGAGCGTTCCTTCTACCGAAAATTCCACATAATTTGCACAGTTTCAGCTACATACTCTCGGTACTTGTAACGAATTTTCAAAATTCTCACTCGCTCATCCGTTGTATAGCGCTCCATTTGGTGTAACCACATTGTGTTTATTGCAACAATACTGCCAACCCTTCGCAATGAAAATGATGCACAATTCAAGTCCTGCGTTACTTTTGGGACACCCTTTATGTTAGGTTGACACTTAAATAATAATACAAATCCCATTACTAGTTTATTTGTATAAAATTACATTATGCTACTGTTGAAATTGTTATATTTCTTTACCGGAAAGTAAATTTAACAGCAAGAATAATAGCTACAAACTTACTAACAAAATTTTAAATGTTAGCAATAATTTTGTTGCAACTGAAAATAGCACAACAAATTTGAATTTGGCTTTATGACCATATATAATTTAAAAATAATTCCAAATACTTTAACCCCTTATGCCAGTTGGTTCCATAATGTTGCATACAAAAAAAAAATAATAATAATAATAATAATAATAATAATAATATCTCTACCTCATTCTAACTACGAGAATTAGCCCAGAAGTCGGATACTTGTGCGGGAGAGGAGGCGGCATATTATTATTACGCAGGCCGCATTTGCGCCCTGGAACGGCTTATGTTGGTAGGCCCTAACCACCATTCATTGCAGGAATGAGGGAAACCTGGAAAACCTCATTAATTAGGGGGGTGGTCAAATGCCAACCGGTGTCAATCTCTCACATTGACCCAAGCCAACATTCTTCCACCCTACCATACCTGCACAGAGGGTGCCAATTCTCCGTACAAGCATAGCTAATCTACGGTCTACCGGCCGCGGGATTCGAAACCCGGGCAGAGCGACACATCGATTTAAGTACTGACGCCTTAAACCGTGCGGCTGTCGACCGAAATAGGAGGTACACGATTAAAATTAATCTTAAAAACATAATATATAGCAGTTTGGCCATTGTCAATTATTGCGTTATTAAAAGTAAATTTTTTTCGTAACATTCGTAACATTCTGATCAAATGAAGATAGAAATAATATATTCGAATGTTATTCATTAATATTGCATTCACCTCCTATTTATATGTCTAATAGTTATCTCACTTTCGACAAAGCTCACCACGAAATTCAGTTACGACGAGTCAGTTAAACTATTTCTGCATTTTAAAAAATGACTTAAGAGGGGTTGTCTCCAAAATTCGATCACTTGTACGCCACTGAGGGAAGTCATAAATTACGCAACCAATCCACCAACTAGCATGAAACACTCTTCTGAGTTTAAATGTAAAAACTGACAGCAATATGTCAGGTCATTTCATTGGTGTCAACTAATGCAAGCACATAATGGTACAAGGTACCTAATTGGACACTTCTTGTCATCCATCAGATTGACTATTGCATTATTAAAAATAAGTTAGGTATTTTTTAACTATGCTTTTTTATTATTGCTCCTGCTACTGCTACTTTTCAAATGAATATTGATACAAAATATTTAAATATGCTAGGAAAATTAAAATAATCTATCTAGATAGTATATAAAAAACAGATACGTCTAGAAATTATTGTTAAATAATGTTGCAAATTACTTATCGAGGATTTGACTCCCAAATTCTCTCGCTGGTACGCTACTGAGCAAAACACAAATCGCAACTGTCAATCAAGATGAAGCTCTTCCCTGAGTTTAAAAGTAAAAGCTGAAAAGCTTAATATTTCAGGCCATTTCGTCCGCGCTAGCAATGCACGAAGACTTCTCTTCGAGCTCACGTGAGTTCTAGACGTTCTCCGGCTGCATTATTAAACTTTCAGTTAATAACCACATGCTTATCAGCTCTGCTTTCGGCCCTTTTACCGCCTTACCTCTGTTCCGGGGTTTCTTCGGATTACGACGCACTTTCTGCTACCTTCGCCGTCTGTTAATTGTCATTAAAAGAGTGTAAATGTTTTACCGTTATCGTATAATTCTTATATAGTGTTTCAGGATTAAGTCGACAAACTTTAAGGAGATATTCCTCATAAAAAAAAAATAAGAAAAAATCAAGTATAAATTTTTTTCCAGGGACGCTTCATTTTTGAAATATAGGGCGTTAAAGATTTTTTAAAAAATTCGAATTTTTTAAATAACTTCTAAATGAAGAAGGCTATTTAAGCCAAATTTGGCATGACACATCTTATAAGATACCATTTTTCCATAGAAGTAGAAGTCCCGCAAGCAACCAAATAAAAAATGATGCTGTTTTTAGATAGAACAGTTTGTTATTGACAAAAAGTGTACATCCACTTTTTCCTAACTCTTATAGTTTCATTGCAAAATTGATTTTTCAGAAGGGTGCTTCTGGATTCTGTCGATAAAATTTAGGAAGACGTTCCTCATGAAACCTAAAAAAATATAATAAAAATATAGGCAACATTTACTCGAAGGGGAATTCTAAACCAAAGGAACAACCATATTTGGTCCTACGAGAATTCACGGGCGGTAAGGGAACATAGTTTAGAGCATGAATTCCAAAGTAACGTATGGTTGGTGTGTTGGACAACACTATAGTTGATCCATACTTCCTTCCGCATCTGTTAAATGCTGACATGTTTACCGAGTTCCTTGAAAATGGTTTTCAAGATCTGTTAGATGTTTCGCTTAATACTCGAATGAACAATTGGTTTCAACTAGATGGTTGTCCTGCCAAACAAAAAGCCTATGAGGTGCCAGTTGGTACCCTAGAAGATCTAAGACAGCGAATAGTCCAAACGTGTTGAAAATTAACTCCAGTTCAGTGTCGATCGGCCACTACCTCCATAATTAGAAGATGTCGTGCTTGTCTACAGTCCGGAGGCGCTTATTTTGAACAAAATATATTTTAAATCATTTCATTTTTGATTCACTTTTCACTTTGTCTAGGTATAATATTAATTGGTAATTTTTTGGTTGTTTCAATTTACAAATAAATTTTCATGTATTGTTTGCTATCTTATTTTATTTAAAAATACACAACACAAGTAAATGAAGTGACTACAAACCGTCTGAAAAAATTTAGGAGTATTGCAGGGGTCGTTACGTTGTCGCATTACGACACATTAGATGTTAGGTACTTAAATATTTCTATTGTTTTCATCATTTGTTTTCTATAAAAAAAAACACCCTAAAGAATTGTCGAAAACTTTGTCGATATATAAAGCTCGTAATTTATAAATTTAATTGGTTTTCGACTGTAAAATTACATTGACAGTTACGAATTGTGTAGAGCAAAGTTTTCGGTATAAAAAAGATTTTTTTACGTCAAATAAAATTAACGGTATTTAAAAAGAAGAAAATTAACCAAGAAACACTAATGAATCTGGTTACTTGACTCCGCAGGCGTCTACTGTATTCCGCTGCTGAGAGAATTTTAATAAAGAAAATTAATAATTTAAGGAATAAACATCCCCGACGAAATTTAATATGAAAAAGCCGGCACTCATAAAAAGACCCCAATGAAATTTCAAAGCAAATTAATCGACATTAGTTAGAGACCTTGTAAAATAACAAAATAGTTTCCTTACTGGTGCGGCTACCTTTTTAATTTGATTTTAATTCCGGAGTTTACCGGGTAATTCCAGGCGGCACGAATTTCATTCGAAGTTATAGAAGAACTCGGGCACGCAAATTTCATGGCTTTTTAATTAAAATACCGAAATGGAAAGAAATATATGAACCGCTGTAAAAGTCGCTGTAAAATTAATGGCCCATTAGAAAGTACATAAAGTTGCAATATTGCTCGGTCGAGTGTTTATATATCAGTTTTTTCGTGTCCGATAATATCACACAAGCACTACTATTATTACCGATATTTTCTATGTACCTAAATAATATGCTACAAAAATTACTCGTTTAAAGGGTTAGACGCAAAAAGGTTCCAACCTACACAATGACATCAAAGAACACTCCGATCGGACCACACCTGCGCCCAGTGCGGCCGAACATTTGTTACACTTTGAAAGATTATACCCCTTATATATGTTTTTTTAACATTTCAATGCCGATCCCTTAAATATTTCGAATATCAAAAAAGTGTTTCAACGCCCAAAGCCTTTTGATGTATTTGGTTAACTGTTTTTTCGATCCAAGGAAGTTCTGCTTAAATTGTTTGCATTTAATTATGTACAATTTACCTGACACGACCTACTAGTTTGTAGGTTATGTAATGCGAAGCACAAAAGTCTTTTACATGGTTTGTAGACTTCCGTGACAATTATCAGTGGTTAAATAATGTTTAAAGTTAAAGTTAGGTGTTTCTCGCACCATTAATTTTTCAATAGATAGCATTACTGTTAGTCTGTCTTTATAACTTTTATAATCTCTTTAATAAGAAAATAAGCCATGAATAGCTACTATGTGGTTACGGTCGGACTAAGCAGAACCCAAACTGCATAGCAAAGATGCACTACTCCCACTCCGTCTTTCACTGCTGCGCCACGGTAACCATGACCACCACTGTAAATTTGTTACAGATGTAGGAACGACCTACGCGAAAGTTGCAAGTCGAGTTAAATTGACTGCACATTACAAATTTAACATTTCCTTTTTAATTTTCTATTTAATTATCCAGATAACAATGTAAACGGAATTTTAAATTATTTTTTTTATGAAAACTTCTAGGGGTGCGCCGCCCCAGAGCCTCCCCTCACCAACCGCCACTGATTCGACTGTATAATAATAAGCTAATAATGTATACTTATTTTGTCTCTATCAAAATCAACATAAAGAAAAAAAAAGTAATTTTGTTACAGGTATTCTTACCAAATATTACAGGTAGTAAGAAAGATGAAAATACATTGTTTTTTATCAATTTCAAACTTTTGGTCACTGTCTTCAATTTTGTGTGTGCCTTATTCTTTTTTAGAGTTACCAAACCGCGACAAACTAAAAGGAATTTTTTTTGTTTCAGGCAATAAATAAAACTACAAATCTCACAGTAAAAATGGATCTCGCTTGCGCATACCTCTTCCTGATTTGGACGGCATTCACGCTGGCAGACACGGACTGGACAAACGACTGTAAAAAATGCGAGTGCAGGTGGGTGAGCGGCAAAAAAACAGCATTCTGTTCGAACAAGAACTTGAACGAGATACCTAAAGACCTACCCAGTAGCGTCAGAGAAATCGACTTCTCGAACAATTCTCTATACAGTCTCGGAAGCTACGAATTCGCAAATGCCAATCTCCGTAATATCCACAAGTTGAAGTTCCAGAACTGCAGCATAGAAATAGTGAACGAGTCAGCCTTCAACGGTCTGGGTGTGTTGATTGAGTTGGATCTGAGCAGAAACAGAATAGGCGTATTAAGCAAAGACGTTTTCCGCGATAACATCAAACTGCGAATATTGATACTAAGCTACAACAAGATAAGAGTTCTAGACGACGGTCTGCTCCACAACATGACTTACCTGCAGAAAGTTCTTCTGAACAACAATAACATCGAAGCGATAACCCCTACAACTTTCCAGAACCTTCCAGTGTTGAACCACATAGACCTGGCCTTTAACAGGATTCAAAGAATTACTTTCGATTTAAAGGAATACGTTGTAAAGCTGATGAGTTTAAATGTAGAAGGCAACCCCTGGATATGCGACTGTAACTTACAAGCGTTCCGCCAGAGCACTCTTAAGAGTAATTTAATTACGAACCCCACCGAATGCGAGAGCCCGACTAAAATGAAGGGCAGGATGTGGCAAGATTCCATGGTTTTCGCTTGTATCCCTGAAATCATATATCCGAAACCTCTGGCGCAGATTGAAGCAACCTATTCCAATATAACTCTAACATGTAAGGTAAAAGGCGACCCAATTCCTGACGTAGACTGGGTGAATAATGGGCACATAATCGAAAGAGATCCTCGTAAAAGCAAACAGAAGTACATTACATTCAAAAACACTACTGATGGTTACACTTGGAATAACCTAACCATCACTAACGTGAATTACAGAGACCGGGGAGAATATAAATGTATAGCCAAAAATCCTGGTGGTGAAGATGAAACTAATATCACTTTGATCGTACCTGCTGGTCCATTAACAGGTGATAGGACACCTAGTCCGTTGAGTTCGTCCACTCTGTGGATCGTAGTATTATCCGTTAGTTTACTCGTTATTCTCCTAATTGTCCTGTTATTAGTTTGTTGCTTTTGTAAGAGGAACACGCATGGAATGAGTGCCAAAAGAAGGGAACACGCCAATAGCTCTGAAGAGTACATCAACATGAGCAGCGGACAAGCAGAGATCAAGAAGGGGTTGATCACCGACGTTAATCCTGTGACCAAACCGCCACGAGCTACCGTGCCTCCATCTGTAGTGAGTGGAGGGACCGAAGTTAGCGACGTGAAGAGGAATTTGCTTGATAACGAATCTGTTTTTGGTAAGATGCCAGTGAATTTTCTAATATTAATGTGCTTATCACACCTTTCTCAACATCTTCTGTTAGTACTAGTTGGAAAACCTTCAGCTTATATTCTAATCGTAATTGTTAATGCGTACATCATTTTCCAGTAAAAAATCCATCAATAATTCGATGATAAAATATATATTCTAATGATAAAAAACCCAAAATACTTTTACTGTAGTACGTATTCCATAAACAAAATGCTTAATAGCTTTTATGCTGCTTTTGTAGTCTTTCAAATGGAGGATAATATATTTCTTTTTACCAGCAACACATTTTATTATAATTATTTATTAGATCTAACAATTGCTAACTGGATTTAATATGAGCTCTAACTTATGCTAAATTTAGAATTTTTGATGCCATACGGCAATAAATTAGCATTAAATCAATGTTAAAAAGTAAACGTTGTATTATTCCTCATAAAATTTAGAAATACTTTGTAAATGATCAGAGACCAAGGAACTGTATTGATAGTTATACTTTAAAGGGTTTAATCTATAAGCTAAATTAATTCTGAAAATGATCCCTACATTCTCATCAAATGAAGAAGGAAGTTATGTATACCCTTTGATAACAATTATCTGCAACAGGAAATAAAAAACAGATTCTACAACTGAATTTCATATTGGTCTTTATCTTCATTAACTGCACACTTCCTTTATTTATTCTGAATTCTCTCTCTAACCTTCACTCCTGCATATATCCTTTTTAAAATGCGTTTTTTACATTCGAGCTTACTTTTCTGTTAATTGTTTTTGAAGATCTAGATCTAAATCTAGATCTTGTTATTGTTTGGCACATTTTTCTTGTAGTATTTCCTTTTCTCTTTCTTCACCTTTTGTTGTTTAAAGGTTTGTTACCTTACTTAATGACTCAATATATCATGTGTCAGCTATGTGTTTCTTCATTTTTTCATGCTATGTATTTGCACTGTTAATTTAATTTAATTTAATTTAATTTAATTATTAGTATATCTAGATATTTAGTATCAAAGGGTATATTTTTGGTATTGCATTTACAAGAGTTAATAATGGAAAATGTTTTATTTTATCGATCTATTAAGATTTTTGTACCTACTGAAAACATTTGCGATGTTTTAATTTAAACATCTCATCTAAATAAGTAGCCTGCTGATAATTATTTCTGTTCATTGCTTACCAAACTTATCTTTCGCCGCTTTTTCAAAACTTCGTCGTAAGTATTTCCCCTTTACTGCTATTTATTAAGATTATAGTCGGACAGACAAGGACTACGCGACGTTTTTACTCGCGAACGAAACGAAACGTTTTAAGTAATTAAATTTCGGCTGGAATAGGGCTTGCTCGCGGAGTAAGATGAAGAAGTAACTTTTACCACTGCATTGTCAGGCATAACACTTAACATGGAATTTACATTTTTGTAGGCAACTCTTGGTTTTCGGGGGGTTCTCACGTTTGGATATCGCAAACTGCTAAATCATAAAGGTGACTTTTGTGTTTGTTCTAACCATTTACATCCCTCTTACTAACCGGGTGTGGTAGTTTAAGGTTTGCTTTCGACCATACCGGTCATCGGGTTCACGGAAGAATGTTACTTAATTACTGATTAAAAGAAGGCAGTAGGTAAAAATTCGTCATTACAATAAGTCGCAAACAAGAGTACCAGAAGACGTTGATTATAAACAATAACGTTTTTTTTTTGTCCAAATATTTGCACCCACTCTTGTTTATAAATCGTTATAGGTATAGTAATAGCATAAATGAGTACACAGCCACACAAAAAAAAAACAAAATCTAAACCCAAGAGAGCCATATATCATATCCGAAGGAAATAAATGCGTTCAATACGATCCTTCAGTAAAAATTCATGACTTCACTACAAATTTCGGAGAAAAGTGAAATTTTTGGGTGAAGCTGGTCCAAATATGGGTCAAACTGATTTTTACCTTAATTTTGTCGAAATATATCAATTTTGTAGTATTTAGTAGGCGCAGAACACGATGTTTTTTAGTAAATTTACCATGACCTCGATATTTCTCAGAAAATCCACTATTTGGGTGCAAATTGTCCTAAATATGGGTCAATACTGATTTTTTTTTTAAATTGAGTCCAAATATATCATTTTCGTAGTATTTTAAAGCGCTGAACACGACGCCATTGGTAAAATTTACACATATTTTTCAGAAAATCCGCTTTTTTACTATGGTCAAAACTGACTTTTTCCTAAATTGTGTCCAAATATACATATCATTTTCGTAATATTATGTTGTGAGGCGCTGAATAGGATATCATTGTTGAAATTTATTTCTGACGTCGATATTTTGCAGTAAATCCAAAATAGTACTATTTTATAAACCAGAAAATTAAAAAAGTATGTTGTTACTAAGAGCTTCATACGAAACATAAGGACTTAATAAGATATATTATTCATTATCGCAATTTAAAACAAGTTAAAGCTTTAGGATTACAAGTTAAAAAAAATGCATAGAATTTTTAAATTTAGGCAAAGTTATTGGATACAGGTATTGACTTAAATACAGCATGAAAAAAATTAAGCAAACATTTTTATAAATTGATGAATAATGCTGTTTTTGGAGAAACCATGGAAAATGTTACAAAACATAAAGACGTAAAGTGAGTCATTAGATGGCAGGTAACTATTATATTTTAAAGATAAATTTTCACAGTTGTACAATTTTTGATAAAGATATCGTTACATTTAATAAATCTATACATGTATGTAGGATTTAGCGTATTAGACATTAAAAACACATTTAATGATAAATCAAAATTGCTGAACACCGACATACACCGACTCAAAATATTGCGAAAATGGTATATTTGGACAAAATATAGGAAAAAAATCAGTTTTGATCCATATTTGGACGTTTGACCCAAAAATTTTACTTTTCTCCGAAATTTGTCGTGAAGTCATGAATTTTGACTACAGGATCATGTTCAGCGCATCAAATTCCTTCGGAAATGATATGCAGTTCTCTTGGGTTTTTGTGTGGCTGTGTTATTTTTGATTTTCTATAGGTAGATTTTTTTGTTTGTCCAATAAAGTAATTTTTTTCAATGGTTTTGAAAGCATATGAACTTTGCTAAAAATTCCATTTCACATATTTGATCATGAAACATAATTTTCAACTCAGTTTTCATGCCAACCAGTGCATCCTCTCAAAAAAATAAACATTACTTTCTCATTGTAAAATTGCTTAGAATTTCTAATTTTTAAATCGAACAATTACAAGAAGGGCACACGAAAATCATTTCTAAAATACATTATTTTATCTCAAACAGTTTTGGATATATCTATTTTTATTTTAGTCCTAGAATGTGCTGGTAAAATATTACACACTAATTTTTGAACACCCTGTGTTAAATTGCTGAAGCAAAACTGTAATCATTTTAATCAGTACAGCTCTTTTCCAATTACTTCTTAAAGGTTAGACCCTATGTTGCGCATCGTATTTGTCTGAAATGGATTTTAAAAGATTTAAGAATTTTTTTGATCGCGAAATATTGGGTTAAATATCAAACCTAGCGATATTTTCTTCATTTCGACCCGCGTGCTTAATAATTTAAACTAGGGCATGCCTATTCTGTGTGAGGAATTGCTCGTGATAACTGCGTTACACCACTGCCGGATGTTTGTAGATTAACAAGAGCTGCTCTCCTTAGCGGAGAGATGATTCTATTAAGGCTTGCCAAATAGAAGCACAAGTGACGGTTGAGATAGGTCTATTTTAGGAAGCCAACAAAACGAATATTAACTTATGAATGCGTCGTTATCACTTATCAGCGAGCGATGTCGTTAGCGAGGCGACATTAAGATTTACGATAAATGCATGTGCTTCCCGGCTGCAAGCAAGGTTAAGTCGTTAGAGATAAAGAGTTTGCATGAAGCGCGAGATCAGCGGATAATTCTTAAATTAAGGGTAGTGGCGTCACATTAACCCCTATCCTACGTGATAATATAGCAATTATGAATGCAAATAAATTTTAAATTAAAAAAGTACGAAAGGAAATTTAAATATACAGGGTGTTCCACCTAAGAGGGATTCTTCTGTAACACTGTAACTGCCAAATTTATAAAAAAAATGGTTTTAATAAAAGTTATCTGAAATCATGTAGGCCATGTAAAGAAAATATTTTTCGCATTACAGAGTGTTCCATTTCGCGTGGGCGCGACATAACTTTGTTATTTTAAATGGAACACCCTGTATATTACTGTGTTTTTTAATTCCTTGGTTAATATTAGGTAGAGTTTATTAAATGTACATGGTGTTTAAGACTTACCGTTTTCGAGATAATCAGTTGTTTTTGAAAAAAATCACGATTTCAGCTCTCTAAATGAGGCTAGATAGCATCTAAACCGTAAGAGTTAGAAACCTGCAGTTTTCACAGTTCGTTTTGGCAAAAATTACTCTATCTTGTCATCTATGAGCAAAACTTGTACGTTATACAGACTCGGATATACTCAGACCTACATTTAATAATCTTATGAGTTGAAAAACTTTTTTTTTCGAATAGAATGACCCATATTAATTGTCATGGGTGAATGCAAAATTGAATACCCTTTCGACTGATATAAGGTTGTCTATACTTATCTTTAATAGTTTTCCAAAAAAATTATATTCTTTTCTAAAGTCCGAAAAAGTAACTATGTAACAGCGTCAAGAAGGCCTAGCAATTGTATTAGTACAACATCGATAATTGGATTTTACAAAAGAAACAGCACAGCACACCCTTATCGCATCGAATTACATCAAGAGTTACTAAAAGGACCCTGTATAGCTAAAAATATTTTCTTTACATGGCCCATATGATTCCAGGCAACATTTATTAAAACCATATTTTTTTTATAAATTTTACAGTTGCAGAGTTATAGAAGAATCCCTTTTAGGTGGAATACCCTGTATGTAACACAGGATTTGAATTGTGCGCCATTTTCATTCCGAAGAGTTGGCAGCATTTTGCAGGATCATATGTTATAGCAAACACGTTGCCGGTAGACAAAATGGAGCGCTATACGACGGATGAGCGAATGGAAATTGTGAAAATTCATTACAAGCACGGAGAGTGTGTAACCGAGACTATGCGCAAATTACGTGGAATTTTCGGTAGAAAAAACACCCCAAATGAAACAAGTATAAAAGGATTAGTTATCAAATTTGATCAAATAAGTTTTTTCACAAACTCGCCCTTTCATCGTGTAGCGCTCATTTTTGTCTAACTGCAACATGTTTAATACAATATGTCACGCTACACAATGTTGCCAACTCTTGGGACACCCTNAAAAATTAGGTTCTTTTCTAAAGTCCGAAAAAGTAACTATGTAACAGCGTCAAGAAGGCCTAGCAATTGTATTAGTACAACATCGATAATTGGATTTTACAAAAGAAACAGCACAGCACACCCTTATCGCATCGAATTACATCAAGAGTTACTAAAAGGACCCTGTATAGCTAAAAATATTTTCTTTACATGGCCCATATGATTCCAGGCAACATTTATTAAAACCATATTTTTTTTATAAATTTTACAGTTGCAGAGTTATAGAAGAATCCCTTTTAGGTGGAATACCCTGTATGTAACACAGGATTTGAATTGTGCGCCATTTTCATTCCGAAGAGTTGGCAGCATTTTGCAGGATCATATGTTATAGCAAACACGTTGCCGGTAGACAAAATGGAGCGCTATACGACGGATGAGCGAATGGAAATTGTGAAAATTCATTACAAGCACGGAGAGTGTGTAACCGAGACTATGCGCAAATTACGTGGAATTTTCGGTAGAAAAAACACCCCAAATGAAACAAGTATAAAAGGATTAGTTATCAAATTTGATCAAATAAGTTTTTTCACAAACTCGCCCTTTCATCGTGTAGCGCTCATTTTTGTCTAACTGCAACATGTTTAATACAATATGTCACGCTACACAATGTTGCCAACTCTTGGGACACCCTTTATTATTTAAAACTGTAGTAAAAAATTAATACAAAATATTTTTTTATCAAACTCAATTTATGATTTTTGTTGTTAACCTATTTGAATAAAATGATATTACTGGTGATATAATTGGTTTTAAGTGTAACGAAAATACGTGCAGAGTCATTCTATTTATACTTATGACTATAGAGTTTCCTTGGTTATTGTTTCTTTATATCTATGTTTTATATTTTTTTAATATTATATCTTTAGTTTTCAAAAACAAACTGAAACAGAAGCTGTAAAGTTATAATTTTTTTTGTGGAGTATCCTCTATATTTATTATATTATATTGAAAGATTTTCGCAAGAGTGATATCGTATATAAGATTTATCTCTAGCAATTTGCTGTGTTATAAGCGGAAAATCCCATAAAAAGGAACCTAGCAACGAAGAGTCTTTTTCTAATATAACATGCTTATGTTACACTCATCAAGACATTAACATAATAATAAAAAAGACAAATGAAAGCCAAATATTTCTGTTTAAGTAGATCTTATAAAGGTTTTATTTGAAAGGTAACTCCTTGCAATTTTACACCAGCTACGATTTTTTACAGTCCAATTTTTTTGAAACATTTTATTTGCGATTTCTTAAATAAGTACACTGGGTTTCAGAAATAAGTGCCAGAATTTTAACCATGCTTTTAACTAATAAAAACAACAACTATGGACTAAGGAGAATTTAGTCGCTAATAAATTAGAACAGTCGACTTAACAGTTATAATTTTGTTTGGTATGTAGTTTTGTAAAATCAACTATATCTAGTAGTTTGGTTATTCTATTGTTTATTTGTCAAAAATTAATGTAAATCTAAACATTTCAACTGAATACATGGCAAAACAATGCAACAAACTAAAAAATTAAATGAGTTATGTAACAACTTATTAAGTCTAATAACGTATATAATCCCCGTGAATGATGGCCTGATACTACTATTTTCCTTAGTGTAATCCTTTAATTTATTGATTTAGCATATCATTTTTTACATTTTGTGCTTAAGTTAATAGTAAACAAAGAGAAGCATAAAGAATGTGAACTAATCAGAGACTATTGTGTAGTATTTAAGCTAATAAAAGATTCTAAAATGGTGAATCACTTCATAAAACAATCGCATACGGTTCTTAACTATGTATTTCCTTAATCCATAAACAATCGGAGCTAATACAGTCCGTACAATATTTTTTGAGATAAAATTCCACGAAAATTATCGGAACTACTGTAACAATTTACTGTAGTAGGGCCGTGCCTGGAAATTTACCAGTGTCTTTCTACCTCGTGTGTCGAATACGGTGAATCCCAAGAAAATCACTCAAGGGTCTTCTGTCTCAACAAATATCGTCGGACTATAGCTATGGGACAAATATATAAGTTAAATAATGGTTAAAATGTTGGCACCTATATAATTATTTCTGGAAATATACAAATACGCACAGGGTAACCCAGAACTGATCGTTGACCGACATTTTGCCACAAAGAAAGAAGTAAATAGGACTTAAATTTCATCTTGGTTTACTGCTCTGAGAACAGTGACGTCATCGGAAATCAAATTCCGATTTCTTGAAAATTGTCTTGTGAACTCAATAACAAAAGCTTTTCGATATACGTATAGTCCCTTTCAGAAAGTAGAAGATAATATGAATATATGTAAAAAATAGATACGATTTTCATTTTTGGCGAAGCCCGAGATTTAAAACTAGCTGGATAGCTTTGTAGAAACAAATGATTTATGTTAGTAACGTTATAAACATTAAAAGTGTATTGCTTCTCACGACAACGTTGATAAAGTCAGTAACAGACTTGATCTAACCAGTATTTTTCTCTGCATGTATCATTTTATATCTTTTAAATGGGAGAAAACATCGACTTTCTCTAAAAGCTGTTGAAAAAATGAAAGATTTTATAAAAATTTATGTGAAATTGGGAAAATTAATTTCTATGTCATCGTGGCTCTTAAGGCGATAAACTTACCAATATGTAATTTTGAGTTAAAACTAATTAATCATGCGATAAAGAAAGGTCTGGTCTCCTCTGTATATGATGAAACCATAAATCTGAATCATATTTTTTTATGATCAAGTGTTTTTTTTAACATAACTTTATCATTTCTGTTTCATAAAAAAGGAATAACAACAACCTGTCTAACCCTATAATCAATATGTAATAGATGACCTTGAACATGTTCTGTTAGAATTAATAATATTAATTTCCATGATTTTGAGGCATTATTTCTCTGCGACATTTTCAGTCATTAAATGCTTTAACGCTTTGCTAACAAATTTCCTAACCCTACTACTAATACAAAAATAATGTACTCTACTGTTGCCTAAAATAATTACGTTTTTACAGATGGCGACGACGAATCCCGTTCGTTAGACTTCGACCAACCGCTTCTCCGAAAATCCCAGATCCTCATAGAATCTCCAGACTACCGACTGAATAATCACTACCCACCCGATCTTCTGCCTTTCCCACCCAGAGGCGCCCAGATATCTCCTGCAGCCAGCTCAGCTTCAACAGTGGCGGACACCACCCGTCTACCACCCCACCACGGCCCGCAGTCGCCTCTACACAGCCCCATCTACGACCAGTTGAACCTCTACCGCACGTTGCCGTACTCCAGGTCGCACTCACCTTTCGTGGGACCACCACCTCGGATCCCCAGACAGGGTTACGTCACCATACCTAGACGCCCTAGGCAGCAGAGTTGGAGCTCCGAGCCACCCAACGTGTCGGACTTGACCCCGGAACCCCTGTATGACAACCTGGGGGCCCGTACCACGGCAGATGGGGGCGCCAGCACGCCCCGTTCTGTTAGGCAGTTCCCGCTGAGTCCTTCTAACTGCGACCCCATAGCGGAGACCCACGAATCTCCTCCCAGCCAGCCAATTTCCAGCCAAACTCTCCCCAGGAACATGAATTCCACCAGACTGACTCCATCCAGGACGCAGTGGGCCAAGGCCAACGCGGAGGCTCTGAGGAGCCCAGAGAAGCGCAACTCCATAACGTCATTGCCTTCGTCCCCAAACCACCAGAACAAGCTCAGCAAAATACCCCCAACGCCTCCCCCCAAGCCCAAGAAGAGGCTGTCCGCGGGTCCCCTGTTCCAGGACGAAGGCGAGGACGGGACCGAGGTGTGAGAATGGCTTAAATCAGTGCTGGTAGCGCTGGTTGTGACTTAAAGAGGACCAATTTTCCGAACTGTTACCTATTGAAAGTGTGGACGTCTTCAACACAGGGTTAAAGACTAATAATTTAATGAATATTACAGATGAATATATATGAATTACACAGTGCCTTAAAACAACGTGACGATTTAATCTAAGTGTTACGAATCGAACTGTCTTATGTTTAAATAACGCTTCGAGTCCCTTGAATGTAATGCATGTTAACCTTTCGGGCTTCCACTTCGACTGACGCTATAGACATTAAATTGGATGCAACATGTAGTTATTTTGTATTTATTAGTATTTTTTTATATTGTGATTAAAGGCGCTATTGTACAGCCTACGGTTTGAGGTAGGCTACTTGCTTTTGTCAGATCAGTTTATTTATATAAGGAACTTATTCGATGTATTTAATTTGCTCAAAATTTTTTATATGTATGTATAATTTTTGTTATTCTCTATAATGTATACAAGATATTTTCCTGAGGTTTGCCTAGATGCACTGTAAATAAAAATATTGATCTTATACCTCTGTCTAAAATGTACAGTATCAGAATCTTTAAATCAATAAAACAATTAATTTCCTGTAGTTTTTTCTTTAGTCATTTATTTTTAAGTTGATTATGCTTCAATTTTCTATTCGCATCATCTTTTATTACACTTGAATTTTCAAGAAAACAAAAAACTATTCTTTTCTGAAAGTACCTACTATTCAGGTATTCACAAATAGTTAATTCTTTGTTTATATTAAAACCTCCCAATACTGATTTTTTAAATTTTGCTTGTTCAGGATTTTGTAACTAATAAAAACGATTTTTTGTAAATCATAATAAAAGAAATTTTCGAAAAATCAATTCAAAAAGAAATAACAAAAATGCATTAGTAATTGTATCACTATTTTTGACAGTAAATTCCGATTATTTATTGATATAATTTTGCTTTCATGTTCTGCATCGGCATTTCGTTCTAATCAATATGTTATAAAAATTAGGTATTTAGCAGAAAACAATTATAAGCCACTTGTAATTATAACTGGCTTTACTGTAAAATTACAATTACGAGAAATCAATAAATTATGCTGCCGACATATCAGTAGGTATGTCGGATAGTCCGTACTTATTTGCCATAAAATTTAACAATACTAAAGTATAAATAGTGAAAGTAGGTACTCCAAAGTACTGAATATACAAGGTGTTTGGAAAAGTTGATACAAAATTTAAGGGGTGAAAATAGGGCAAAAATAGTAAAAAAAGTTCCTATAAACATTGGTCCTCCGAAGCACCGTTACTGAGATATAGCCCTCCAAAGTGGTCTTATCATTTAGATATATTTTAAAACTATCTTTTACCCGCGGCTTCGCTCGCATTGAAGCCATTAATTGATTTCGTGCAACTTTGGTGGCACGGGCCCGCGACGAATTTTTGGATAGACCAGATTTCCGCTTCCGAGGCATTTTTAAAGAAGAACAGAGTAAGAATTAAAATCACGAATTAACCTCATTACTGATCTGAGGCTTGGGTTGGTACTTCCGAACTTCACGAAGAAATTGACGAAAATTAGAACATGCTCTAATTCGTCAAGAACTTGATGAATAAATTGATGAAGTTATTTGACAGCTGATTTGGTGCATTACACTTGTCCAATTTCTTGATGAAGGGACTTCATCAATTAATTGATCAATAAATTGTCAATGTAAAACAGCTTTTACAAAGATTCAACTCAATTCAATTCATAACAAGATTGAATTATACCAGGGGTAGTAAATAACTTATTAGATATTATCAGTTATTACAAATAATTATGTACAAATATGTCTAAATATTATTAACATAAAAATACATATGAAATCATTCATATCTGTGACTATGTAATATTTCAAAGACATATCTTGGACTTTTGTTCTAACATCACCATTGACAAAGAGCAACACGTAAATATATCTGCCATAGAAAGATCTTTTTTAATTAAATATGTACTATTTTTAAAAACAGAAATGCATATGTTTATTTTGCACTCGGAAATATATATCACCTGCATGTGCACTAGGTATGTCAAAACTTTTTCTTATATAAAAGTAATTAAATTATTTTACATTCTTACTGTACTCGATGTAAAGATGCATACATAAAAACATTTTTACTGCATATGGAAGTTTTTCTTTAAAATGTGGCCAACATTTCATAAATACCACAATTTTCTATAGAGTTAAAATGCATTACTTTTAGGACACCCTTTATAATATCAATATATTTGTCTGTACCAATAAGTTGTCTGTATTTTCTTTTAAAGAACACAAACTATTGCTATGAGAATCTACAAAAATACTTTTTTTTAATGATCGATTATTTTTACAACAAATTATCACCTTATATTTATGCAATAACGGATTTAATGTGCTAATAGGTACATCTTTTCAAATTTAAATATTATCTCCCATAATGTTTTTTGTAGCGATCTATTTTTTAACCTTATAGCGAGAATATTCAGTCATCAAGTTCATACGAGGTAATGTTCCCTCAAAGACGTTTTTGCTCGTTACAATGACTAATAACGCTTAGATCTACCCCCAAACGACCCATTTTTGTATCCTTGGTGGGTTCTTAATTTGAGTTCAGAACATCAAAGGCAATTTATCATCGCAATATCAACCGAATTGTCGTATGTAGATACAGCGAGATGCTTTAAATGACAGTTACAAATGATTATGTGTAATCTAATGTAAACTCTATTCAGGAACACTCGACTATCGCGTTGTTTATGCGTCATTATGCAACGGAACGGAAAACAAAAAAAAAATGTGTAATTTGCGTCGAGATAAGCTTTCCAGGCGTTTTTCAGCTACCTGAGACGTTGGGGCGGAAGTCGATATTTCAGGGGTTTAGTTAACTCGCAGCGTACCTCTGCAAAATATCTATGCATGAAATTCGAAAGATCGGTAAAAACAAATAGGCCCAAATGTTCATGAAAACCATTTTGTAGTCAAGTGAAGACAAATATTTATTCTGTTTAATTGTATAATGTTTTATTACCAGCCGATATACAGGGTGATTCACAACTTATCCAAAAAAATTTGGGAATAGATGCGGCATGAGAAATGGAGTCAATATCGTAACAAAATTTTTGTAGAATTCTTATAGTTTCCGAGAAAAAAATTATTGAAGCTGTAGTACTTTCAACCATTACATAGCTGGACAAATGTAGTCTCTAGCGTCATTCGTAATACGCGTGGAGAACCACGTAGCCTCAGCGACTCCGAATACCAAAATCTCATTTTACAGTCGTCGTTACCATAGTATTTACAATAGTTTTTTAGTAGTTAGTGTCAAAAAATGGCTTAGAGTTGATGGATATCGTTTTAATTTATAGTGACGCAAAAAAAACATTTGTATTATGGTCAAGCATTTGTGTTATGGTGAAACAAGACAGCATTTGTGTTAGTTCGTAGAAGTAGGAAACAAAAAAAGAACAAAAACATTAATTTTCGTTAGTTTCATTAGCAAGAGAAACGAGAAAATGAAATAGGAAATTAATGAAATCTATAAATATCTACATTGTTAACAAAAATAACGGATTTTCACTAATTTTGCAATATAAGGCTGTATTTATGGTATCCGTTATATATAATTTATTTGTCTTCTCGACCGTAACTATATACAGGGTGGGCCATTAATGTGAAAAAGTAAAATAACTCCCTTGTTATTCATAATACAGAGAAAAAGTTCGTATAAAAGTTGGATAGAATGAAAAACCTAAAGGACAAAATTAATTTGAAACACACAGGGCGCTGAGTAAAGACGGGACACCAAATATTACATTTTTTATATATCGTCAAATATCGCATTTTTTATGTATATTTTTAACATATGGATTTCTGAGAAAATTCTGTATATGGTAATAAAAACACTTGGAGCAAAAATATTTGACCGAGTTATAGGCAAATGTTAGGTAAAGACTCCTGTATTAGGTAATATCGTAATACGATCATTTTAAGAAAGTTCAAACTTGATTTTCTAAAAGTTTTCAAATTTTTTCACCCTTGTTTGCATTTATTTGGATTACCTTGGTGCTTTTCTAACAAAGTAGATATACGAGAGCTTATGGTAGAATATGTTTTTGAAATATAAAAAATACTCTCTTGAAACATTAGCATTAGTAAAATGAGTGCAAATAATTAGAATTTAACAAAAAGTATGTACCAGCTGCAGATCAATATGAACAAGTATGTGAAATATAGTACAAGAACAAAAATCCTAATAAATTATTTTTATCATATTTATTATTGTATTTTTTTTTCAAATAAGTGCGTATTCTAGATAAATTAAACTACGTTAATTTTTTGGCATAAAAATTGTATAAACCCAAATTTTCAAAATAATTTTGTGAAGCGTGCAGTAGTAGTAGTAACCTAATTACTATTTAAATAAAAGTTTTTTCAGTATTTCCACAATTTCTAGAAAATGTTCATAACTTTTCAATTGGACTGAATCTAACTTTTTTGACCATTTTATTGACAGCAGCGACATATTTTAATTACGCTTATCTACTCGTACAAAGATTAAGTCAAGCATACATTATATAGACATAAGATGTAAAATAATGGTGGCTAATCTTTGGCAGAATATTTCTTTTTGGCTTTAGCCATTCCTCTATCTCCTGTTAGCGGGTGAGGGTCCTGGAAGGGGTGGAAATTAAAAAACAAGATGGTTACATTAAGAGAATACATTTATTCGACAACTGACATACAGAGAATGCTGCCAGCGCGTTTTTCGTCCAATAAATTAGAATAGACTTTTACACTTAAGAAGCTTGATTGGAAAAATGGTTAACCACTTAACTTCAGTAACATTCATAAATACTTTATTAAACATCAATGGAACATTAATACGTTAACAGTTTATGTTATCAATAGTAAGAGACATAGCTAAGTTTCGGTTATATCCACCTCTTTTATGATATATAAATGCAAGACAAACTCAACAACTAGATTGCATCAAGTCTTGTATCGGTTTAGAAAGTTAACTCATGCACCTGACTTAAGCAACGTTTTGATTTTAGCCGAGATCCTTGCTGTTCAAATAGGATATGGTGGAAAGATGTCCATCTCGTCCTTTTTGCTGGTAGGATATCGGCTAAAGTCAATAGGGCCTAGAACGACACTTAAGTTGGTCGACATTGATGTGCCATGCTGGGTCCGAATAAAAAAACTACTGAAATAAGTTTCCTTACTGGGACCTGGTTGTTATCATTCCTAAGAGAATTTTTTTTCTGCGATCGTGAGTTACAAATTTCAACGGATCGTATCCGTCATCTTTAAAAGTATGGGTTCCTTTTAAGTTTATTTAAGAATACGCGTCACATAAAAAGCAACTACTATCTAAGTTTTGTCAAGGGTTGGGGGATTTGGAAAGGTTAATTATTGTTCTTCAGCTCGTCAGCCTTTGTCATAGCCAGAGTCGATTACGAGGTACGTGATCAATCGTCGAAGGAGCTTCATAGCTTCCGGTCGTCCGTTTCCGGTTTAGAAAAGGACGTTGTTGCCTTTCTTTGCTGCCACTGGGAGCTTCTCGCCAGACAAGAATGGATTTGTTTTCTTGCTCTAAGGACACACAAGTTAACAACCTATTTTTCAAAACTTCAAGGTGTTCTGAATAACAAAGTAATGAAAAAAATCATCTAAATATAAACAATGTGTTTTTTTAATACAAAAAATGTTGAAGCCATTTCATTCAAATTTTGTATACAGTTTTAGTTCTTAATCGTTCACAAACACATGTACATACGACAGATATTTCAAACAGAATTCGATATTGTGATAAAATGTTAAAAACTTTGCAAAATGTGTTCTGGATGCAGTATTTTTATTTCTAAACACGTTTTTATAGAAGCTAGATATAGACGATATAGTCCAACCGGTAGTTCTGCCGGTAATAATTTTTTTCGTTTTGACATATACTTTTTGGTGAAATAAAAAAATCTGTAATAACAGTTCAAAAACATGCTCAACAATGCAAAAAATAAAAAATGACTTGCAACAATGAATTTTTCAATTATTGTTGATAATTTGTTTAATTTAAAAAGCATTCAAAAACTGCTTACACTATTCAATTCTACGGAAAAAAATTTAGATAACTGTGTCGCATTGTTTGACTCAAAACTTTATTTTTGTACAGTATTGCTATAAACATCTAAGTCGAATTACAAATGCACAAATGATAAATTATCTCTGGACGATTTGAGATTTCAGCAATACAAAGTATTAACTACAAAGGCTACTGTTGACGCGAAGTCCAAAAACCCGAAATTTTGCAAAACCGTTTTATTTTTTTTTCGGGCTTTATTTGAAAACGAATTTTAAATAAATTGGATATTTACATTGCCACTTTTTTCGCTCTATCCAATGGCGTCAACATTTTTGCAATCCGACGTTTCGTCTTCGAGCGGCCATCATCTGATTAATATTCTTAAATATATCGCTGCTATTTTTATGACAAAATCTAGTCATTTTTAATTCTGTATTGGATGATATTACTATTGTAATCGAGTAAAAAGATTTTTAGCTATCATTAAAAATTTTTCCTGAGTACGACTCTGAACGCTTTCAAATTACCTGTATCTGTTATAGGAGAGAGAGAGAGGACAGAATAAAAGTCAATACAGCACAAAATATACAACAATTTTTTTAATCCATAATTTAAAAAGTTGTACCTAATAAAAAAAATAATACGAATTTATGAAATATTTTATTATTTCTAATTAGTATTGCTAATAGTAGTAAAAAATCGTTGCATATTTTGTGCGGTATTGACTTTTATACTGTTACGACTTCATCCAATAGATATTTTGAAAGCGTTCAGAGCCGTACTCGGAAAAAATTTTAAATTATAGCTAAAACAAGCTAAAAACTTTTTAAGCGATTACAATAGTAATATCCTCTAATTCAGAATTAAACATGACTTTAGATTTTGTCAAAAAAATAGCGGAGACGTATTTTAAAAAATTAACCCGATGATGGCCCCTCGAAGATGAAACGTCGGATTGCAAAAATGTTGCGCCATTGTATAGAGCGAAAAAAGTGGCATTGTGAATATGTAATTTATTTTAAAATAAAGTCAGAAAAAATGAAACAATTTTTCAAAATTTCCGGTTTTTCCGGATATCTCCGGAACTACCCAGAATTTTAAAACTTTCTAAACAGCATATTGTTAGGTATAAAAAACACACTGTATATCTATGAATTCATCAAACTTTAAAAAAAAATAAGTACACTAATCGATCATACGGAAAAAATTATTATTTATTTTATTTATTCACTATTCGACTTATGTTTATAACAATACTGTACAACAATAGTTTTGGGTCAAACAATGAGACAGTTTTTTTGTATTTTTTCCGTACAATTGAATGGTGTAATCAGTTTTTGATTTTTTTTTAAATTTAAACAAATTATCAACAGTTACTGAAAAATTCATTGCTGCAAGTCATTTTTACTTTTTTGCATTTTTGAGTATGTTTTTGAAATGTGATTACAAATTTTTTATTTCACCAAAAAATATATGTCGAAACGAAAAAAATTATTACCGGCAGAACTCTACGATAATTTTTTTAAGTAGAATTTTCTTTGAAAAAAAAGTGTTTCAGGCCGAAAAAAATGAATCTCAGAAACTTCTTGATTTTTTTATCTACGAAAATTTGAGGTTATTTAAGACAGAGAAAGGTATATTTTCACCGAGTTTCGTCAAAATTAAATTATTTTTGCGGAAATGAGAAATAAAAAACAAAAAATCAGAAAAAAATCTGTTTTTCGCATTTTTCTCGGAAATTTTGGGGTTATGTTAAATAAATGATTTCTACAAAAGTTGTAGATTTTTGCATGATCTACAACTTTTGTATTAGATACTTTTTTATCTGGCATCTACTTTGGCCAAAAGTTCCAATGATACAATTTTTCATAACTTTACAACGCCCCAAATCAACCCTCCGCCGCCCCTGCTCACGCATTTATTTTTTTTTTTTTCGTTTATTATAAGCTCCTTTACCATTTCCACTTATAAAAGTCCAGGTAACAATTTTCTTTTTTTCCCTCTCTAAATGATCGGTCTAATATTATAATTCGTTGACATATTTCACTTACACTTTATATAGAAAAGTAATATATTTTACCTGTTCATTTGGATGATAGTACTTTTTGGCAACCAAATTCTTGTGAGGATATAGCTGGCCCATCTACAACAACGCAATATTAGAATTTATTCGATTTACAAATTTTGTACCTAATGGTACATACAATTTATAAATTAAACCAAGAATTTTACAATTGTGTTTATATTTGCTTTCAAGACCAAAACATTCAATTATTGTTTATAGATAAACAAAATGTCATTTTTACAACGACGTCATAAGAGCCCGGTAAGTACCTACTAATCTCTCGGGAGTGTATAGCGAAGGTCAAAATAAAACCACTCTCCCCTATAATTATTTCACTAACGTTCCTCCTGATGGAGGTCAAAGAGGTACTCAGTGATTTACGTTTTGGGTTCTAACTTTAAAACTACCTTGATAGAAGTGTCCAGGATTTGATGTTAAAATCGATCCTTTATTATTACAAGATATCCAAGAACAGATAACCTGCAGCACATATTTTTAAAAATTATAGATGTCATACTATCAAACTGTAAATATTATTTTTAGATATTCTGAACGTTTCTCTTTAAAAAGATTACTCTTTTTTATTTCAGTATTATCAACGGGTTTCGAGATAAATCGATTTTTGAAAAATAGTAAGAAATAGTACAAAAGCAGCTACAATGGAGTTTAGTTTTTGCAAATTATTTCGTGCATTTGTGCGCCATATTCATCAAACTTTAATGATAGATAGACAGGTCGAAGTGAACCTGTTTCGTGGACATCAAGGTCAACCGACATAAATCACTTAGACTTCTGAACTGTAATCAAATTTGTAACAATTCTGGGTTGTTATTTCATGTGCACCAGGAAAATAGAGTAGGAAAGTGTATGAAAAGCTAAATTAATTTTCAAAGTATTTAAAATAAATATTTTCACTTTGATAGTACGAGTACATCTGTCAAAATTTTGAATAAACGTGTGTTGAAGATGATTTCTAGAAATACTGACATAGTAAAGAATCGAATAGAATAAGATCAAACGATGGAGGCTATAATACACTATACCAAAATTTTATCAACCTGTATACAATGGTTTTAAATGTAGAATACTAAACCTAAATGTCCAGTATGAGGAACATTAGGAGAAAACATTATAGCGAGTCCTATTATTATTTTGACTTTATCTATCCCGAAGTTACCAGATACCCTGTATTTGCTTTATGCAAATCCCCACTTTAAATTTGTGTAAAAATATTTTGGAAAAGTATATCAATATTGTGAGTTAAGAACTGATATCCACTGTTGATTATTTATTACCTTTAAAGATTGTTGCAGAAGGCGATTGAAGTCCATATCGTCCATTGATTCCATGGGATCATCCACCATCGGTCCATTTGGGTTTGGGCAGTCGAACATATGCTCAGTGTCGCACATGCAGTCTTGGACAGCTTGATATCGACGACTGTACGAAGCAGAGTTTTCGAAGTCCATAATGCATCCTTGTTCCTCTGCAAAAAATCATCTTCATAATAGGTCCTAAAGACTAACATCGGTCTCATAGAACTTGTTCAAAAATACTTTATTTTTGAAATTTTTAAAAATCGACAACTAAAAAGAACACAAACAGCTAATGCTTATAAAAATAGGTATATGAAAAACGTTTCTTTCATAGGTACAAAGACTAAATTAGTTTTTGCACTCTTAGTATATCTTTACTGACATAAAACGTCATTCTTTCTAAATAACTGAGAGATTAGTGACGGAGTCACTTAATAATTTCATTACATGAAGAACATATCGGTGTTAAATATTCTAGACATCAACAAAATGACACCTTCCATATACTTTGTGGCTCCGTGGTGGTTCATTTTCATAGGAAAGTCATGTATCTTCATTATCCTTAGCATCGCTGTTCGTGGAAAACAGTTTATGTCTAGGCGATTTTTTATGACAATCAACTATCCTTTCCTGTTCCTTCTCATTAATCCAATCTGACGCATTTTAAGTGATTTAACAGTAACAGAAATGAACCAACTACTTAAATTAACCAATTCCAATGTATGTATGTATCTTTATTTATAATATCGATCGGTATTTCTAGGAAAAAAAATATGTATATCTAATGCAAAATATTATCCATATGTCAACCGCACCTAAAAATATTTTTGGGTTTTACGTGGGCATACAAAATTCATTTGCAAAGTGTGAATTCCTAGAAGTATCTTAATTTAAGTGTTAGTATGTTTTGCAGGTTAAGTATTTCTGCATTTTGAATTACGTACCGTTAAAATGAGTACCTATGAATTATTTATGTTTTAGTTTTTACAGGGTGTTACGATATTCCACCGTCAAAATTCTACATGTGATTCTTTTATTAAATATAAAACAAAAAACATATTAAGATAATCAGCTTCATTTTTAATCGCTTCGCTTTTAATTCTTCTAGTTTTCGTTATCACTCAAGTTTAATCAATTTCAATTTATTCAATACTTTTTTTGAGAAGCTACAGAACAAATTACCTCTCTTTCAACTCTTCACTTTTTGATTTCGTGAATATTTTTGCCTTTAACTAATTAGATGGTATTCATCAAAACGTAGTCACACTTTGTATGTAATCTGTTGGTTAGCTTTAAGTAAAACTGTAATATTATTAGAAAAACTGTAATTTGGTCAAGTTTAGTTCACTAACACATCACCGAATAAGATCATTATACCTATCAGGAAATGAATAAAAAAAAAATAAAAATTATTAAAATTAGATCGCCCTATAAAAATCAGGTATTTGCAGGCTTACGGTCATATGATCTCTTTTTCTAATTTGCAGTTAGAGAATCACTGAGTTTTCTTTGTGGAAAGTGGAACATTGTTATTTTTTTACTGTAAGGTGCTATAATTTAGATGTTCTGCTGAGAATATGTTTATATTCATACATAAAATTTTATAATGTAAAATAGATTCTTCTATTCTTCTTGTTTCGCGTAGGTATCAACTCTTATCATATTTAAATGAACATTTCCAACTATTATTCTTTCCATAAAAAGTAATATATTTGTAATATGGAATTAAAGAGTCCATAAAATTTGCGAGATCAACACAATTCACTGTAGAACAAATTATTATGAAATTTGAAAAATATCATCACAAATTGTGCATAGCAATAAAAAGTAATTGTTCACGGAAAGTATTAAATTATTGATTAACGGTTTTCGCATTTAACACCTGTCATTCAAAATAGTAAAAATACACCGTTCACGACATCCGTGTTACCGGTTGATTTATCGTGTATTATATTTTATAATTTTAACGATATATGATGTTAATTAATAGATACCTATAGGTATATACTTTGTAAGCTTCACATTTAAAAATAGATTAAAAAGAATATAATATATCAGCATATATTGTTTTAAAGTAGAATCTAACCGAATTACTGTTGGTGAAAGTAAAAAAAAAAAACAATCCATCGATTACACAGCACCGCAAAAATTAGTCGACTAGCTCTTCGATCAGACCAGTATATCCTGATCCGGGAATTCTGACTTTATTCCCGGATCAGTTCAAGTTCTGACCGAAACATCAAAAACGCTCCTCTTGAAAACAGTTTTGAGTATTTCAAACTGGATTGAATAGTCAGTGATTAGAAAAACATTAGAATTCGTGATATCGTTGTACTATAGCTTCATTAAACCCATAATTCCTGGGAAAGTGTAGAACCATGAAACTCTTTGGGAAGATCGATATCATACATCAGGAGTCTGAAACTACATGACTGTATTCCCCTAAGTAGTTGTGACATAATGTACACCACTAAAGTCTAAAAATCTCCTATAGTCCTGGGAACCAAGGATTTCCCTCCGAATTCTTTCGGATAGAACCGATTGACGTGAAACTTGTACTGTAAGTAGAAGAAAGCTCAAGAAACACAAGTTGTATAGTGCCGATGAGCGCTTTTACCCAGGGGGTGGAAGCCACCCCTTCTAGAGGGTGAAAAAATAAAATATTGTAAGCAAAAAGTACCTTATGAACATTTTTCGATAAGTAAATCTTACTTTAAAAATAAAAAAGATACGAAAAATATTCAAGACTATAAAAGTTTAGATTTTTTTTCACAAAATATGTTTTTTTTTTTACGTATGTAGGATAAAAATTAACAGAGATGTCGCTGCTAGAAGTTTGCAGTTGACGGCGAAGGTCATGTTTTCAAACCCTTTAACCTCAAAAATCTCAAAAATATCGCGTTAAAAAATACTCGATTTTACAGTACTTTTAGCTGTCGAAATTTTCCGTAAAATCGTTTTTAGATCGTCTTAATAGCTTTAAAATTAAGGAAGTTGTCGTTAAAAAAACAACGGTACCTTACCGCTTCAATTTTCGGAGCACATCAATATTTTTGTTAATATACAATTATACTTCATTTTAAATAATTTAAAAGCCATTTTTTATATATTTTGTCATTGGGGGTGGTTTTTGAGGGTTAAAACAATGCGATAAATTATAAATTGCATTGTAAACAGGTAAAAGAATTTAATTGATCCCATTTGTAGTATCAAACCATTTCAAACTGTTAAAAACTATTTTTTTAATATATTGTTATTAAGGGTAGTTTTCTAAGGGTGGAAATATTGTAATGAATTATTTATAACATCATAAACTGTTGAAAAGGTTTCTATCTATAATACATGCACTATAAAATTATTTTAAGGTCAAAGAAACTATTAATTTTATATTTTTATCATTAAGGGTGGTTTTTAAAGGTTGAAACTTTATAAAAAATAACGTAAATTATAACTCACAATATAAAACAATATTTATTCTATATATTTTTATCATTAAGGGTGGTTTTTAAAGGTTGAAACTTTATGAAAAATAACGTAAATTATAACTCACAATATAAAACAATATTTATTCTATATATTAGTTATATGATTTTAGTCTATATAACACCTATTTTTATATTTATTCAGTTTTTAGCATGGTGGTGGCTTTCATCCTCTAAAAATAAGAAGCGCATATCAAGCATGTATAACTTTTCATCCACAGGGTGAAATAATCTTAATTCCAAATTTTCATAAAAATCGGATCTATCCGAAACTATTCGGAGGTTTTACCCTATTTTTCTCTTCGTTCCCTGGACTACTACGTCAAGGTCCTAAACTGCATGATCGCATAAAACAATAACATCGTGACCCATTAACCCAGGGTGTATATACTACAAAATTCTGACGAAATGAGTCTAAAGTCATATAGTAAACCCGGTGCATGTAAGCTCCTGTAGTCCCATGACCTGGGGCAGACATTTTTGTGTTACAGAGTTACCCGAGATTTTTTCTCCTTGTACCTACACTAAAAAAAGTATACTTAGTACTTAATAGTACTTCCTTGATTGTACAATCGTGAGTTTTTGCAATCGACATGCCAGGTTACGAGTTTATGGGGTGATAGGGTTATGAGGTTATAGTGCACCGTAGTTATGGGATTATAAAGCAATGAGATCATTAATTCCTATGTTTTTACAAACTCCGACTACTCAAATCGGTTTGAAATCTCGAAAACTGCTTTCTAGAGGAGTTTCCTGATGCTAAGATCCCTAAGATCAAAACACGAATTGAATTCTAACTGTAGATTAGGATTCAGCAGGTGAAAATAATATGAGAAGCACAGGTCCAGTCCACTTTTTTTATAGCCCTGTGTTATTTTCTGTCTCGTACAAAAATTTCAATATTATCTATCAATAATAGCTTCTTTCTCACTTCAATTCTAACAGACAGAAGTTTTTCTGTTTTTTCGAAACAAACATTAGTAATTTCAACGAAATTTGGGCGATGATGGCCATTTTTATTATTATCTGTTTTCGTTTTCTTAATATTTTAAGGAAAATTATGCTATTTAGTAAGTCAATATACAGGATGTCCCGGTACTACAAAAACGTCGAATACAAATAGATGAGGTCAAAATAAGGATATTATTATTATTATTACCAGCACCGATTCATAATTAATGTATGATCAGGAATAGTGGGTAATAATTGAATAGGTCTATTTGTTTTTAAGACACGTCTGAATGAACATCGATATTTGGAGTTTTTGCAAAATAATTTGCAGCCACTATTAGACGATATTCGATTAGACACCCAAAGAAACGTTTGATTCATGCTCGAAGGGGCTCCTCCCCATTTCAATATTGATATACGAAATTATTTATCCATTGTGTTTAATAATAAATGGATTAGGAGAGGAGGCCCAATTTCATGGCCAACACGTTCTCCAGCTTTTAATCCGATGGACTTCCTCCTGTGGGGATATCTGAAAGGCTTAGTGTGTGGATGTGGAAGATGCCCATATTGAAAATGTATTTTGATAGTTTTCTTTCTTTTACATAATTTTTTTAACTTATTTAACTTATTCTTGTTTTGTTTGTCAAATTTTGTTAGTGAAAATTACATTAGCAGACAGTAATATTTTGTAGGCTCTTATTTTAAAAATATGTACCTACGGTTCCAACATGGTAATTATGTCCAATTAAAAATTAAAAACAAAAAATGGTGACATAAAATCACAAATATTTCCTAAATTGTTAATTTTACCGAGTTGAACCAAGAGGGTAGGGATTATTATTGACAAATTCTCCAGGGAACTTATTTTTGATACAGGCAGATTGCGATCGTCATCGATGCAAATCTTTTGAATTGTTAACTATTGGGTACAGTCCGTCCCTGGCGTTCTGGGCATAATGAAGTTTCACTTACAACATCAAAAACAAGTTGTACGCATGTGTTATCGGTCGCCAAATTTGCATCATGCTGAAGTTAATAGTTTAGAGACTAAATAAAAATAACTTTAATTTTCATCTTTGAGGGCCCGTAACTTGTTAACGAAGGCCCATATGAAAAAAAATATACCTATATGAATAACTGATATTATTTTGACCTCATCTTTTTTTGTATCAAGTAACGGGACACCCTGTATATTTTTAATAATTTTGGGTATACACACTTCTGGTGAAACTGTTTATACTTTTTTAATGATAAAATAAATACTGTTTTAAATACCTTTCACAACCCAATTTTCATCCAACTTGCACTTAGTTTTTGAGACACTGTTTTTTTTATTTTTTTAATTAATGGTTAGTTTAAATTTAAGAAAGAATCTTATACCAACAGAAAATAAAACGGAATTTTGTGTGAACAATATTAATAAAATGGATTACAATGTGAAAGAATCAAGTTCCATTTCAAATCGGTGGCGTAGATATGAGATATGTTGGTTACAATTTTATCAAACATTATTTCAAAAAAAAATAATTCAAAATTTATCTAAACCTATCATCTTTACAAATTAAGAAATAACATAAAATGTGTATGTAACCAACTTACACATATTTACGATACCGATTTGAACTGAGATTTGATTTTTCACATAGAATGTAGCCATAAGTCAGCAAATACGGCCAACTGAAGGATAATATACGCCCGCATCACTGAATTAGATACATACATATATTATTTATGTATTGATCGCACACGATTTCGTTTCAATTCGCTATTTGTTCAGTAGATATTTAGAGATGTCACTTTTTTTGGATAACACAATCTTGTATTACACCGTATACAGTTACAAAAAGAAACTCACCAGTATAACCCACTGGGCACGGATTTGGAGGATTACAATAGGCTGGCAGGGTGGTATCAGTTTTGACTTCCTGTTTAGCCTTCATTCCTTGATTTCGCATCAGCTGGTTTCCTTCCCCTGCCCCTCCCGGACCAAACTAGAAAAAATATTTATAGTTTTAACTATCGATATTATGAAAAACAAGTATTCTGCGGACTAAAACCCCGAGCTGCATTGAATTATACCTGTAATATTTAGTAAATAAAATATATGTAAATCAATTGGATTGTCACAGATTACTGGTTTCGTACATTTTATTTACATATCAGTAAACTAGTATGATTTAGTCATAAATGCTGACACCTAGAGGTGGTGTTGCTAGATTAGTAATGAAATTGTTGATTCGTGTTTTGGGTAACAAATTATTAACATTTTTTTATGAATGAGTGATACCGTAATAAGTTATTGATTTATCTCAAAATAAAACATTGCTTATTATGATTATATGTATAGATAAGGCCGATAATAATTATTTTGTAATAAAAAAATTACAATTATTTCTCTATCGATAATTTATCTCACTGCGGGGACAAAATATAAATTATTATAGATTTCAGTGAATAACTACCTGCGTCTGCCAAGTTTCAATTACCTTCTATCTTAAAATTTGACTATCAAAGGATTATCAGCAAACGATTTTATAGCCCTGGTAGAAAAAATGTAAATATCCCACAAGTAAGTGCCAAAATTTTTACCACATATTTAGCCCTTCAAAAGCAACAACATCTGTCTGATATTTTTTTTGCGTTACATGCTTGTTCAGTATTTCTACCCACTAACTGGCCTTAGGGACGTACGCGAATGTTTTATCCAATTTCAAAGTTCCTACTTGAATTCATGGTAAAAAGTATGACGATTAGGAACTACTCTCGTACAATAATTTTACAGCACGGCGCGGCATATCAAAAAGTTCAATTTGGAAAATTTTAAAGGTTGTTATATCCACAATGTACAGAATTAGTCACTATAATCTGACAACGTATTGTGAGTTTATTATTGAAATTACAATAGAGTTTTTAATACAAAAGTTTTAGCTTTTTTTCTGTATTTTTATCATACAGTATTAGAAAAAACAATTAAATAATGGAAGTCACTAAATTAAAGAAAAAATAAATGGAAGACCCTGTATATTAGTACATACTTAACTCCGTTAAATTTTTCTCTTTTCAAAAATATATAATATGTTAATGTTTCATTCAGGACTTTTCGACATATTTCAGTTTAAAACTATTTTTGAAAAAATAAGAGGGTTTATGCTAACGGATCGCAGTGGCTATGGACGAGGTACGCGGAACAAACAAATGACTGACAGAAGTTTATTTATCATCATTAATTTATTTTCTATAACAAACTATTTTAACAAAGAAAAGTAAGAACGAAAAATTTGAAGTTATCTGTTTATTTTATGATGTCTAATAATAAAAATCATTCTTAACTTTAACAGGATTTTAACACCTAATTAATAAAAACCAACTAAAACAAAAGTGGTCACAGATGTTCAATGTGACCGCCATTATTATTCATGCACTTCGTATAAGTATAGTCCTCATTAATTTTCAGAACTGCATTTAGTATGAAATAGGAATTAAATTCACTTAAATTTTGTATTTTATATCAACTTCATGTTTAGTTCATCTAAGTTTACACTAGTTTCCTTATAAACCTCGTTTTTTAAGTAACCCCACAGAAAACTGTCCAGGGGTGTAAGATCTGGGCTATTTGAAGGTCATTGAATATTTCCTCCACTACCAATCCACAAATCAAACCTATTATTTAAATAATTTCGTACTGCTCTGGTTCTATGCGGAGGCTCTCCGTCTTGGTGCCAAATTAAATTGGTATAGTCGATCAGCGGCAGATCTTCCAATTTGTTTTCTATTTGATTTTCAAGAAAATATAGGTATCTTTCCCCATTCAAAGCACCTTCATAAAATAATGGGCCAATGATTACAGTGAGGATTTCATTTGCACAGGTATGAGTATTTTTCTATTATAAATACCAAACCAACTGTTTTAAAAGTCCTAAAATCTTTTCAAAATATTTTAGGTTGCCATTTTTAAAGCGCAGCATTTCTCTGCAGTACTCTAATCGTTGAATTTTTTGATTTTGCGTTTTTGGACCGGCATAGTTTTATAAGGGTGGTATTTATATTTATGTAACGTTCTAATAATTTTACTTTGGCTTATTTCTAACTGTCTTGAAGCGTTTACTGTGGACTCTTGTGGCCTTTCTACAATAATTTAATATTTGAATTTACCATGGTAAACTTCAAATCAATATTTGCTTACCTTGAAAATATAGTAATATAGTTAGTTCTAATTCTTCATTTAGAATCATTCTTCGTGTCGATCTTCCAAGAGATTTTGTTTCTCTAAAGCGTCGCTCAATGTCGTAAAATGCAGCTCGAGATTGAATTGGAAACCCGGGATGCAAACGAGCATACCCGGTGCGCGCTGCATTCACATTATTATTATTCTTGTAAAATAAACGGATAATTTCAAATTGTTCGTTCTCACTAAACATTATTTCTTTGTTAAAATAGTTTGTTTTAGGAAATAAATTAATGATGATAAATTAACTTCTGTCAGTGTCACTGCGATCCATCAGACACAAATTTCCCTCCCGTTTTTTCAAAAATAGTTTTAAACTGTTTTAAATATGTCGAAAAGTCCTGAATCAAACATGCTCGTATTATATATTTTCAAACATATTATATATTTTTGAAAATAGAAAAATTTAACGAAGCTAAGTATGCTCTAATGTATAGGGTGTTCAATTTAAAAATATATATATTTTTTAATATAGTGATTTCCATTATTCAATTGTTTTTTCTAGTACTGTATTATAAAAATGCGTAAAAAAGCTAAAACTTTTGTAATTTCAATAATAAACTCGCAATAAGTTATCAGATTATAGTGACTAACCCTGTACATTGTGGATATAACAACCTTTAAAATCATATACATGCCATGTACAAAAAGGTAAGTTTTTCCAGCCTTAGAATTATTATCACCGACAGCATTTTTGTAAATGGTTATTGTGAAGATTTTCAGTAAATTTTGGACTGGAAAAGTAAACGAATTGGACCTTACATTCGGTTAGATAGTCGAAGGCATTTATACTTTTTAAGTAACATGGTAAATTATATGCAGGATGATATCCCGCTGACGATGCTTTTTGTCATATGCCCGAATTATTGAAGATTGCTTAAGTCTCTTTTGGACGGTGGACTGGTCGAAATGGTCCAGTTGTATCGCCCGCTGTGTCGCCAGATTTCAATCCGTGTGACTTATAAATTTGGAGTCGTTTAAAATAGTTGGTGTATTCCAGTCCAGTTAATATGGTCGAGAAACTTCGAAAACAAATAAAAAATCTCTCCAAAATAATCGCAACAATCCGGAAATCTTAGTATGAGTGAAATAAATTTTCAACGCTGTATACAATTATGCCTTGACAGTAACGGACGACGTTTTGATATTTGATATAATTTAATTTAGTAAAACAAGTCTCGTCCTACTGAAACAATAACGGTGAATTCTTTTTAGTGATTAAAAAGTTTGTCATTTTTAAGTTTTCATAGTTTTTTGCTTAACTAATAATTTATTGTTCCGCGCCTTTTTATTTATTATTCAATCAACTGAGCGTTTCGATTTATGCTTAAGTGGCGGGTAACAAAAAATTCAAATTTTGAAAGTGTAATTATCTAACAAATTAAAGTTTTCCAAATTAGACAAAAGCTTCCATTTGAAAGAGCTCTCCAAATTTGTAATATAAAATCTTCAACGTGAAATTACATTTTAAGGCCCGGTAATTTGAGTCTCGGTTAAGGTTCGATTAACTAATCAGGCAATTAGACTGTGATTATACTTATATCATTATATGTACAGTCTAATCGCCTGATCAGTTAATCAAGCTTTAACCGAGACTCAAAGTACCGGGCCTTAAAGTTTCAACAGAAAATCAGTACATGTCCGGCACTATTTAAGTTTGCATCTGAGATAGCTCCGCCCACAAATGCGAACTGGACATAGCAAAGGAAACGCTCCTGTCCCAAATCGCCATGCCTACGTATTCTAGGTCAATGCGTTCTTCTCAGTCTCGCGCAGCTATGCCGGAGTGGGAAACGCAAACAGTGTCGGTCTTTGTTTTTTTTTTTGTTTGCCTGATCTAAAAGTTTGTCACGACCACAACATCGCGCTTAAACATATACGTTTCAAAAATATCTAAATATCAAGAACTGACTAAAACAACTACCTACCTGTTTTCCCCAAAGGGTGCTGTGCTGGAGGTATTCCTGATCCCTTATGCTGGGATGCAGGCTAACCTCTGCTAGACCGTCGTAGTCCAACAGCTGCTCCTCCTCCAGGTCTCTGGTGAGAGAACGCGCGTCCAACGGCAATCCATCGGTGAAATCCAAATAGGAGATCCCATCGCCTTCTGATATTCCTTTGCCATTGATACGGTTCACTAGGTCCCGCAAAAATATGCCGGAAAGGAAGTTATCCTACACGGAAAAATAGAGACAAGTTAACAAACTGACATTACGCGATTCAGAAAGAACACTAATAGCAGAAGGTCTTTATTTATTTAACAAGTGCAATATTCAGAGTTGGGTATTGGATCAGCAATCAAATATTGCAAATTTGTATCTGAGGATATTATGTATTCGTATTCATCATTTTTAAATATATATTCAGGATTTAGTACAGGGAAATAGTATTCATGAGTATTGAAAGTATTTTATGAATAATAGGGTATTTAGGAATATCTAAGTACTCCGGAATACTGAGGATTAATGAATATATTAATATCTATGATGGTTTGGTAAAATTTTATTAAAGTTGGACAAAATGGACTCACGTTTGTAGAAAACTGTTCCTGCTTATTCTTAGGGATTTACCTTTAGGCACGGTACTTTGTGCCTCGGTTAAGGCTTGCTTAAATAATCTGGCAATTAGACTGTGATTATACTTTATAAAATAAATCTGTATATGTACAGTCTAATCGCCTGATCAGTTAATCAAGCTTTAACCGAGACTCAAGATACCGGGCCTTACTCTTACAAATATAACAAAATCTTTTACAATTTTTTTAGCGTTATTACATACTTATTTTCTTTTTTTCAAGTATTAAAATAAGTATATTATATACAGACAGATGGTG